CCCCAAAACCCCAAAACCCCAAAACCCCAAAACCCCATGAGCTTAATAAATATTGACAATTATGGAAGACAAACAGGAGACTCTTGAGACTCTTAAAGAAGCCTTGGTAGACCTTTACCTGAAAGTAAAGGTTCGCTCTAGTGAAGACATCGAAAAATACAACAGCGCCCAAATGGAGCAAGAGAAGGAGGAGCATAAGGATACAACAGGATTTATGCTGGTTGATCTTATTAGGTCAAATGTGGAAATACTTTTAAATATTAAATCTGAAGAGGATAGTTTTTCTGACAACGAGAAGTCCTTGGCATACCCAAACTTCTTCTCACAAGCATCCTCGATCCTCAGCTCTAAATCCCAGGTGAATACTGAAGGGTATGAGAAAATTATTCGAAAACTTGAGTCAGATGTAAGAAATTTGATTCGGTCTGAACAACAAATGAAGGTTTACTGAGAAGGTCTTACGGACAAATTAGGGTACAAATAAAACAGAATTTGATGAGTTCAAAATTGCGGTCAAGGAGAAACTCCATCAAATCAAAAAGGACAAAAAGACTACTGAAGAATTACTAGCTCAAAAGGAAAAAGAATTGATAGAAGTTAAATCTCAAATTCTTCAGTATGAAGAGAAGGCTCTCAAGCATCAGCAAGACTTGCTGAGTTATAAGAGAGATACAGAGGCCAAGATCTTGTTGCTCCAAACTAGGTATAATGAAGAACTAGCAAGGATAAATACAGAAAAATAGAAAAGCAATTCTTGAAATTACAAATAAGGTACAACAAGCTCAGGATAAATAGAGAACAAGTTGTTGATGGTGATATGACTTTAATGAAGAACAGCTTAAGCACTACTCAAGAAATGACCCGCTCATTCACAGTCCTCAGACAAGACACTGGATCTACAGGATCTAAAATAATTAGGCACAAAAGGCAGCACTCAGATTCATCTGGGAGGAATGTATCTCTTCGGAGCTTAAAAAGGAGTCTATCTAGTACGATTAGGACATATAAAAATGCTACTCAGAAGCAACCTCCCAAAGGTATGGGTAATAAAAGTCATCATAAGAGTGCATTGTCCTTGAACGCGTCTAAAATATCTGAAAGGAATACATCTAAAAGTAAGATTTTACAAAATTTCATGAATAAAACACTGTATGCCTAATCTACTTGGTATAGAAAGATTAAACACTAAAATCTCCAAGAACAGTATCGTACTAAATCCAAATACAAAATCATTGCATTTGACTAAAACTAAAGGAGGCGACATTGGCTTACACACTGATCGGAATTTAGCCACGGAGCTAGTCCCTCTGAAGGGAGGGAAGATCAGGTATCATGCTCAGAATTTCAAAAAACTCAAATGAAAAAGTAAAAATATTAAGTAAAGAAAAGTTAAGAGTTTAAATTTTAAAAATTATTTGGTTAAGAAACTGAAACTTCTGAAAGTTAGATAAACATCAAAGGATTTTTAAAGCGTTTCAAAACTTTAAGAAAGCTGGCAGAGGGTAACTAGATATGAATTTTTCATGAGTTAAACCACACTGCAAGTAAATCCTTACTCTTCCAACAAAAATACAAAAAATCAAATACATTTCATAACCCCTTAGCCCTCATTCCTTCCCTATTTCCCTCCCAATCCTCCCCTACCCCTTCCTCACCCTTCTCCCTCCTCCTACACTCCTAGTCACTCCCCCTAAAACTCCCTTCTTCAGCCTGCAGCATAACATAAATCTGAAACATTCAAGTTTTAAATCTAAATCGGGGTTTTGGGGTTTTGGGGTTTTGGGGTTTTGGGG